GTGGGGGAATATTTCAACTACTTCTGTATTCTTTTCAAAGCTCAGACGACAGAGACTACAGGAGGAATACAAATATTAGTAATTAGTAATACCTGACTATTTATTATCATTATTAAACATGTTCTTACCCTTCTATATTTTATTGTTATTGTTGAGTTGTCTTTATATTGTTGAGTAGTTTGATAACAACCTGAGTAAAAACAAAGTAAATACTTCAGTAAAACGTTTATTAGCATTTTCTCGATTTGATGTTTAATGAAACAGAAAAGTAACAAGCAGCGTACAATAAGGTGATAAATTGTTTGGGGCTAGTTATAATTTTCGCCCAGGAAGAGGAAATGGTTTTTAAGGGGAAATCTCTCAACTCAAAACAAATTCATGTAAATACGTTCACTTGTTTCTTAGAAGAAGAATCGTGATCCTCAAAAAAAAATAAATAAATAAAAAAATTAATGACTTTTTCTAGAAACAAAAATGTCTTAACCTAAGAAACAACCAGCTATTTCCCTAACCTTTGCATTAATATCTACCGGTAGTCTGTAAAGCCTACATTTTGAAGATAATCAATATACAGTATACTGTATACGGTATGTTAAAAATAGTATCTGAGCCTTGAGATACACCACATGCAATTTGGACCTTTCTACTAGGCCCCGCCCCTTGGATATCGTCGCTAAGGGCCGCAAAACCTACGTACACCATGTGTTTGTGGGCCCGTGATTGTGGGACAAGGGTGTATTTCTAGCTCTGTTCTGATATTATTTCTTACTTTGTACTTGTCCTCTCTACATGTACAGTTGAAGTCCTTTTTTGTGATAATAATTTCACGACAAGGCCATTTTCGGGGGTCTATAGAATTTCCATAACATTTTGTTTCTTTACCTTAGCTGCAACCAGACGGGGCATGCTATTTTAATTGTTAAAACGGCGGCATGGGCAGTGATCGGTTAATCATCACCATGCTAAATAGTTGAAATAAATCTACAACATTAACCAAGGTGCTCTTAAGGGATTCATTCCTTTGCAATCATAATGAAAAATTGGAGACATCTGCTCACTAAACGGTTCACTGCACACCTTAACAGTATGAGTCAAAACGGGACCCCATTTTCTCACAAAATCGACTACAGTATATAATTTGAATGGTTTCATTTGGCAATCTGAGGCGATCGGATTATAAAACTAGATGTTTTAAGCTTTATAATCATCTATATATTCTTACAATTAATGCAAAATTGAGTAATCATTTTTCTTTCAAAGTTGACTACCTTTAATGCTTTTAATAGGAAAAAGGTTAAAGTTAGAGTGTTTTTTGGTATACTTCCTGCTTCTTTTTACCATAACTCTGCAACGACAGGTCACTAAACTTCGGGTGGACGGTCAATTGTAGCTCATAAATTAAGCTTTCTTGCCATGAAGTCCCACGCTAGTTGCTTAAATAAGCATTGATCATTTTTTTCTTTCAGAGGTCAAATTGCTGTCCAATTCATATTCTTGACAGCAATTTGACCTCTGAAAGGTCATTGTTTGTCAAAAAAACAAGGGCCTACGACTGAAAAGTGGAGTTCCCTTCTTTCGTTCTGCCCGGTAAAATCAATTACTTTAGGCGACGTTTGTAGACGTTTGTTTGATAGCACCAGGCTTTAACGTCCGCATGTGTCGATGATCGAGTATTACCGTACTATTCAGCGTTTTTACTATATTTCTAGGTTTCCTATTTCTACGTTTAATCGGCCCATGTCTCAGCCACAATATTTTGAGGCCAATATTATTTAGGAACCCAGTTAAACTTATTTACTAGCCTATTTCAGCGTGCTAATTATTACATTTAGGCGACACTTGTTGTAGACTGGCATACACGGTACCAACGCTCGTTTTTACTATGTTTCTAAGTCAGCTCGTCAGTGTTCTAATATAGACAATGGGTCGTGTCTCATATTATTTGTTATATTTTTATTATTCATTATTTTCACTTGACTCGCATAAATAATTTTGTTGCAGTTGTACTTCGCAGCACTTCACTTGCAATTTGCAATTTGTAGTCTTTAAGAATTTGTATTCAGAACTGTTTTTACCTTGTCTGTGAATGACGTCACGCGCTTAAGGCCAATCAGCTACGAATTTCAAGTTTTCTGCGGTTAGAACGTTCATGCATAAGATGTAGGTCAAATTTACCTGAATGAGATTTTGTCGAAAATAGGGGAAAAGTTTTCATTATGCTTAAAGCGCGTGAATACAAAATTATTAATAAAAAATGATAGCTGGTTATTTAACCAACCTGCATGAGACTTACATGCCAAGAAAGCTTCATTTTACACTTGGCCATTCACCCTATTACCGAGTTATGTTAAGAAGAAGCAAGAAGTATACCAAAAACACTCTAATTGTATATATTTTGCTATGCAAAAGCATAAGATTAAAAGAAAAATGATCACTCAATTTTGCATTAATTAGGAATATATATGTGAGTATAAAGCTTAAAACATCTAGCTTTCCTGTGAGGAAAAGGGGTCCCGTTTTGACTCATTTACTGTGTTAAGGTGTGCAGTGAACCGTTCAGTGAACAGATGGCTCAAAGTTTTCATTATGAATTTGCTAAAAATAGACAAATCACAATTTTTATAAATTAAAGAAAAAAAATCTTTCGATTTCAAAATGTAAAACATGTTATATCTTCGTTTCTTTTGCTCCGTTTTTTTTATAATATATTTTTTTATTTTATTTAATTTTTTACAAAACAGAATATAACCAGTGCCCTAATTTCCTGCGTATTTTTCCTGTATTGCGAATGGTATGCGAATCTTTTGCCTAACAGTGGAGTGGGCCCTCTGGAGTTTCCTCTATGGCCAAATGTAAACAAGAAAGGGGATTCCCCATTACACACAGGACCGCCATTTTATTAGCAGGGCATTGGCGGCCAAAGTCGGTTTGGCCCTAGAAGTATGCTTTTTTGTAGCTTTTACGTAATGTACAGCTTTTGTTCAAGCCTAGGCCAGGCAGATAAGCTCTACCAACTAGGGCCTGAGTCCTAGACTAGGCCTACTACTGGGCTAGCTAGGCCTGGCTAACACTACTACTACTAGGTTTGTGTAACTTTTACATAGTGTATACAAGTATATAGTGTATATATATTTAGGCCAAACATAATCCCCACCTATTGTATGCTTCCTCGAGTCCTAGCTAGGGAAGTTGGGAGGTGGGGCTAGCCTTGGCTAGGAAGTCCTAGATAGGCCAAGGCCAATTAATATAATTGTAGATGTCTGGGTGCCTACTAATATATATAGGTCCAAGTGGCTAGCTGAGTATCGTAGTAATATAAAATTTGATTTTTATTCTAGACCAAACTTTTCATAATTGTGATACCACTTCTTTGCAGACTGTTGATAATATCGATTGAGATTCATCTTGTCTAGATATGCCAATTTGAAATGATTCCTTTGTGTCACCTTGACCCATGCTGGACTTGTTTCTCCCCCTCCCCTTATCGCTACATTTCTAAAATCATGTACATCATCATAATACAGTACTGTTTTTTTACAGAGTATCCCAACACTCACTGCTTTGGTGCCACCATTTTGGAACAGTCTGTGTCTTACCCCTGTTGGTGAGCTCAAACAATTGTCTTGGAGAAAAAGAAAATCAAATGTTTATACATTATGTAGCTCTAAAATCCCTGAATTGTTATAACTTACAAGGGCCTTGCCCCTGGGACACCCTCCAAGTTGTTTTGGGTGGCCCCCTGGACCAACCCTGTCCACATTCCTGGCTCTTTCCTCCCCATTGGATAAATTCTGTTGTCACCATTGAAGTATATTGATGTTAGTAATTATGTATTATGTAAAATATAATATATTTGTGGGGAGGCTCATCTGATCACTGGAGAAACTATTTAACTTAAGTCATATTTTCAATGATTTTATTGTGTGTTAACTTACATCTCTGTACATACAGGTTAGTTGGCGAAGGTACGACCTAGGTTGAAACTGCAGACTCAAACCATATTCAGATCCAGAATAGAGGAAGAAAAAAGGAAAAAATAAGGACCAATAGAACTGAACTGACAACATGGCTACTAGGAATTTAGGTATGGTTTAACAGTAATCAATAGTAGGCCTATTTTCTTTAAAACCAACATAAATAATGTTATACCAAGAAAATTCAACTGTTGTTTTGATTTCCTAGCATGGTAAAAGTTTTGCATTGCTTTGGTTTTTGTAAGCAACCAAAGACCTGAAATCAGTCAAGGGATGTAGGAGTGCACAGCGCATAGAATGTTAATGCAAGATTCATAACCTTTGATGCACGAGACGAACATCCTTTTGTTGAATTGGGCCTTGGTTATACTGTATTTTGGCACCTGAATAAAAAGTAGAATTACTTTCTTTTGTCACCTTTAAAAGATATAATACATTAACATTGGAAAATTGACTTCATGTAGCTTACATTACTAGGTAAACTACTAAAGGCATCAGGCCTATAAAAAAAATTAAATGTACATGGCATGTACAAAGGGCAGAAAATGGCTGTATATTGGAGCATAACTCTTTGTACTGTCTACTGCATGCATGTAAACAGTGCCTTGATAGGCAAGGCATGAAATAGTTTGAACTTAGTTAAATGAGAGAGCCAATACACAGCAGAAGAACCAGTGTCTCCACTACATTGTGTAGCACTCTTCCTTGAATTAAAGATCTTTAAAAAACACACCCACACTTTCATCATTTTATTGAAAACACCCATCTCATGGGAGTGATGTTTTGCCATATCTGACATGTTATCGTACTAAATACTCAGTACATTGCCAAATACTTGTGAAAAAAATTTGCAAGCAGATTCGGGATGAGAATCGAACCCACAACCTCCAGATAACTAGCCTGGTGTCATAACCACTAGTTCACAAAACTTGCACTTTATAGTGACTAGTGTTGGATTTAAGTGTTTAGTAGGATAACTCGTCAGGGAGGTAGGGCAAAACATCACTCATATTTTCCTGATGCAAACACACATCGAAAGGCATCCCATTGTCATCATAGTCGCATCATATGTATTAGTATAAAAATAATGTTTTTAATGAAATTGAAAATGTTCTTCAGTAGAGTAAAAAAGTAAAAACTGATGTTGTGCAAAGATATTATATTTTTATTTTAAAGGAAAAGGAAAAAGCCGCGCACAGAACAAAAGACAAAGAAAAAGTAGGGCAACCTTTAAAGGTATGTTGTTATAAAACAAAAAGGCATGCTATTTTGTATTACTTTTATTCATTTACTTCTGGAATTCACATTTGGAACTGAACTACGTTCTCATCTTTCATATTATTCCTACTGAACAGGTGTTTGTGAAATATTATATAAATAAAGAAAATTTAAAAACCTTGATTTAAAAAAAGATAAGAAATGTTTTCACATCAGCACGCAATGCTGCATACATTTTAGCATTGTGCAAGCATACTCTATTAATAGAAGTTATGCACAGTTCCGGAATATGATGATATGATAATTTAAATATGGTATAATTTTCACTGGCATTTGCCTAATATCTAGTAGATGTATATTCAGAACACGACTACTTTAGTGTGGTGTCAGGATATTACATATTCAAAAAATATTTTGTCAAATTTAGGACAAATTGGAATAAAACATTGAAATTCATATCCTAATTATTTTTATTGCAGATGTAAATAGATTGGATATTATAAATTGATTATGCTTTGAAAAACATTGATGATCCTGTTTTAATAATGTTCACCTTTTAAGAATGAATAACGATCACTTTGACTTTGATCAGCTCACTGGCTATTTGAGCAGGAAATGTAGTTCTTATTAAATATAATTTAAATAAAATGAATAAAAATTTACAAATTCAAAAAGATATATTGAAAAGACATTCAGATAGTACAAATTATCATACAAGAAAAAATAGGTGGCAAAAGATAATTAGTCAAACCAGTTACTCGTCTTTTGAGTTATTAGATAAAGAGTAAGATAAGAGCTATAAAATGGTACAAAGATCATTCATATCTGACATTTCCTTATGAAGTTACAAGTGTTAAATCAAAAAGTTACTTTTGCATCCAACCGATTTTTATGCCCACCCCTGGTTTAGTACAATAAAATAGGTTAAAAAAAAATTGACATTCCAGCATGTTTTGGCTATTTTTTCTGAAACACGATTTGTGACGAGTGACTGGTTTGGCTTGTCGTTGCCACATATGTGAATGACTGGGAAGTAGTTTCTGTTTCCATTAACATTTATTTAAAATTTTTTTCTTGTATTGCTGTGCTTTGTTATTAGTGATACTGCAGTACTTAGTTTAATTACTTGGTTTGTATTAAAGTGAATATATGCAGTGTGTCATTATTATAATGATTATAAATTGTAGTATTTTATCCTAATTATTTCAATATGTTTAATTTTTTTCAAAGATTTTCTTCATATGTTTTTTTTTCGTGTGAGGCACTGCATTTTCACTTTTGAGCATTACTGCATTATTCCTGATGATGACATAATTAATGTCGAAATATTGAATCCTGACACGATGGCGTGCATTTCGATACTTGGAGTATGTATTATACTATCTTATCTGAGATTAATCAGTGGACATTTCGGTTACTGCTTAAAAGTGTTTTTATATACTAGAGACTTTTTTTTATTAACATTGTGGTTCTTAGGAATCTCTGATGAAGACTTCAGGCAATTGCTGGTAAAAGTGTCTGAATGGTATAACGACCGTGGGTACATCGACATGCTGAAAGTGTTGTACAGAGACAATGCGACTGATGTCTATCTGTTAGAAAATGCCTCTGACACAATGACTTTGCTGCAATTGCTTTATGATTCTGATGATCTGTCTCCATCTGATCTGACGCTTCTCTATGAAACTGTAAAGGCAACTCGGCAATTTGGTTTGGAACGGATAATTAAAGATCAAATACCGTCATGTCCAAATATCAGGGAAATCGAAATTTCAAAATTCAAGCCATACAGACTAAAGCTGATGAATCTGGGATTCTCACTGGCCAAGTTTGATGTAGTAAAAATCAGTGGACTTAATAATAAGTCCAGTAAAGAGGTATAAAGATAGCTGGAGTCTGATTAGTGATATGGAACATAGAAAAATAATTTGTGAAGCAAATATGAAGAAGTTCATTAAAAAGTTAGAGAAAAACAATTTCCACCAAGCAATCGCTGCTCTATGTGAAGGTTTGTTTAGGCGAGGCTTTTTTATATCTTGTTTAGCGAACAGGCCGACTGCAAATATTGATGATTTTGAATAAAAATAAAATTTTATTTTTGGCCTATTAGCGCACCCGCCGCCACGAAAAAGTGGAAATTTCAGAAAAAAATATAACTTTTTCTTTATTTTTATTATGCGCCCTCCGCTGCCTTAAAATCTCCAAAAATAAGATATGTATATTTTTTCCTAATTATATAAATCTTAAGCATTTAACCTTCTAAGAATTTACTCTAGTCTTTAGTTAACTTTTAGTCTATACATTAAAGAACCTTTCACAGTATACTAATTTTAAACCATCCCGTTGTACATTCATCAATAAAATGTTGTTTTTATTTTCTCCTCCATCTCGATGTTTTTGGCAAAACTGTTTGCTAAAAAAGAAAACAAAATTTTATTTTATTTTTATTTTGCGCTCTGATGATCTTTAAAAAAAATAAGTACGCTAGACGGCTAGACAAGGAATAAACAAACTCTTGCCTTATAATGGAAGGTTTAAAATTATTATTAATTTCACTTCTTTTATAAATTGCCCACAACTTTCTGTCAACATCTGGTTATAGATTTAAAGTGTTTTTCTGCTTAAACCCTAAATACCTCCAACCTTTTTTTTTTAAACTTTTTTATTTAACATAACTGAATGAACTTGTAAATGTTTTTCGATTTGCCCACTGTTGGTTGGGACTAGTGAGTTATTTTTGCACCAGGTTTACTTAAAGGGCCAATGGTGCACTATTTTATGTCACTTTGGTTGCTTTTGTTTGCCATTTAGTGTTGCTGTACATACATACAAATAATGTACTTTAGTTCATTAATGTTATTTTTTTGTTCAGATATTAGTCCACCGGAAATACGGATTTGACTGGACAAAATTGCAACAAAACGTTTTATGATCTAAATATAAACTTATTTATATGTAAAACAAAATACTAAAAGTTTACCAAAATAGGACGTACATAAAGGTGTTTTTTATAACCAAAAGTTCAGCACTATTTGAAAGTAGACTTTTACACGGCACGTACTGCGGTTTTCAAACTTTTCTTGATTATGATTGGTCAACATTTAGGTCAACGTAGGTCATATCTGTTTGTTGCCGGAAGAGTGAGACCCGCGTGTGCGAGCTTCGCGATCGCGAGGTTTAGTGTGCG